TTTGGTCGGAGGCAAGAAACACACAGTAGCGGTCAAACACAGTGCATAACCTCGCGTATTTCTCCCCGATAATGGTAAATTCCTGCTGCATTATCAGATGCACAAATAAAAGCACGAAAGAAGGAAAATGTCTTTTTCGTATTCTGAGTGAAAAGAACCACTAACGGTGAATTAAACGGCTTTCAAACATTCGCAGAGCAAACGTAGAAGTCCTAACAACCGTGGACTCCAACAAGTTCAACAACACATCGAGACTCTTGGAGGTTTTCATCTTTTCTGCTGTGAACGGCCCAGGAGTTTCCACCAAGTCATTGTTCTTCACAACTTTTACAACTTTTACAGACAAACTAGCATGCTAACAAAACACTACACACAACTACACACTCGAGACGGGTCTTGGTCTCGAGACCGGCCTCCAGACGACTTTTTTATGGTCTTGGTCTTGCCTCAGACTTGACCGTGTTTGGACTCGTCTCGTCTCGGTCTCGAAGCCGCTCGGACTCAGACTCGAACTCGTCTCAGACTCAAAGCCGCTCGGACTCGGACTCGAACTCGTCTCGGACTCAAAGCCGCTCGGACTCGGTCTCGTCTCGGACTCGGACTCGAAGCCGCTCGGACTCGGTCTCGTCTCGGTCTCGAAGCCGCTCGGACTCGTCTTGGTCTCGAAGCCGCTCGGACTCGGTCTCGTCTCGGTCTCGAAGCCGCTCGGACTCAGTCTCGTCTCGGTCTCGAAGCCGCTCGGACTCAGACTCGAACTTGTCTCGGACTCAAAGCCGCTCGGACTCGGACTCGAACTCGTCTCGGACTCAAAGCCGCTCGGACTCGGTCTCGTCTCGGACTCGAAGCCGCTCAGACTCGTCTCGGTCTCGTCTCGGTCTTGAAGCCGCTCGGACTCGGTCTCGTCTCGGTCTCGAAGCCGCTCGGACTCGAAGCCTGCTCAGTCTCGGACTCAAAGCCGCTCGGACTCGGTCTCGTCTCGGACTCGAAGCCGCTCGGACTCGGACTCGTCTCGGACTTGAAGCCGCTCGGACTCGGACTCGTGTCGGCCTCGAAGCCGCTCGGTCTCGGACTCGTCTCGGACTCGAAGCCACTCGGACTCAGTCTCGTGTCGGTCTCGAAGCCGCTCGGACTCGGTCTCGTCTCGGACTCGAAGCCGCTCGGACTCGGTCTCGTCTCGGTCTCGAAGCCGCTCGGACTCGGACTCGTCTCGGACTCGAAGCCGCTCGGACTCGGACTCGTGTCGGTCTCGAAGCCGCTCGGACTCTCGGTCTTGACTGGGACCAGGTCGGTGTCTCTGATTACGCTTGTTAAACGTTTTATCACTTCAAATAAAAAATCAGATGTTAAACCAGGAGCAGTTATTATTATTTTTGTAGTTTCCCCAAATGCTTTTTTTTCGAGACTCTTGGAGGTTTTCATCTTTTCTGCTGTGAATGGCCCAGGAGTTTCCACCAAGTCATTGTGGATTTCGCCCAAGTGAATATTTGTCCAGGTAGTTGGTGATTCTGACCAGAAATTTGGTTTCACCTTTTGTCGGGGTTGAAAAGGGTGATTTGTCGTCCGTCGATGTTTATGACCAATTTCTGGTCACAATGGTCTTGGGTCCTCTGCCGTTAGAGTGGATAAATAACCGGGATCAATACCCTTTACGTGCTTTCTCGCTCCGTCCGTCATGTTCAATTAGTGTTTCTTGCCGCCGACCAAAATAATTCCCAGCATGCAACGCACGCACGCTTTTTGTCAACAATGAAACTGGCCTATAATTCAGTTAAAATAAACATTATAGGCACTATTAGTTTTAAATCATGATGGATTAAACTGAAAATACAACCACACATTCATTAGCCCGGAAAATACAGAATATACAAACCCTCCACCAGAAAAGTTACTCGATGCACGTTTTAGTCATGATCTAATGTTGTTTCCTTCTCAAAAACAAATGTGGAGTTTGTGTTTTGTTTCATTCACAAATTTGGATACTGTTAAAACCTTTTCAGGATTGTGAAAAAAGTTGGAAAATAGACCATTCAATGTCAGTGCGCTTTATAATCCAGAGGGCCTAATAATGCGCAAAATATGGTAATTCTTTATCGTGAGTCTGTCTACACACAGCAAAAACTGGAGGGTTAAAATTCCAGGGTTGTTTTTCACACCAAAAGTGATATTTTAACTGTTCGAAAGTTAAACGAGGGAGGGAGTTGGGGTTATTTGCCAGAGTTGAAATGGTTGAAGTTAATTTGACGTCCTCTAGTGTTAACTTTGGCACCTCCCACCTTCAAACTGTCACCGGAGAAGACCAGTCTGAACCGGTTTTGTACATAATTTCATCTTTTACACTTCCCGCTGCAGTGATCAAGAACACCACCCACCCAGCGCACAAACTGTCCTCCCTCCCAGCGCCCGGGGAACGCTCTCGCAGCACGAAACGCAACACAAACACACTCACAAACACACTCACAAACACACTCACAAACACACACACAAACACACTCACAAACACACACAAACACACTCAAACACAAACACAAACGCACTCACAAACACAAACATCACAAACTCACAAACACACTCACAAACACACTCACAAACACACTCACAACACACTCACAAACACACTCACAAACACACTCACAAACACAAACACACTCACAAAACACACTCACACACAACACACTCACAAACACTCACAAACACACTCACAAACACACTCACAAACACACTCACAAACACACTCACAAACACACTCACAAACACACTCACAAACACTCACAAACACACTCACAAACACACTCACAAACACAAACACACTCTCCCCACAGGCATCAGGCTCATCAACACACTCACCAAAACTCCAGAAACCACCACATCCAAAACAACTCCACACATTCATAAATCCAGCTGCTGTGTCAGCACTTTACACACTGCACCTGCACATAAACCAAAAAACAACTACGTCATTGTTCTTGTGGAAATGTTTATGTCCTCGTCTGTCTGTCTGTATACTGTGTTTATTTTTTTTATTATTGAAATCTATTTACACTTCATGTTCTGTGTGTGTGTAGTAGATGAGGGTCCAGTCAAGTGGTAACGGAGGGAAACAGGTCAGATTTTTGACATTCAAATGTCTCTTATTCAGAAACTAGAGGAACTATTGAAATAAGTAAAGTATCAGAATGTAGGAAAGAGTTACACTCCAACAGGGTCAAGTTAAACCTGTGAGATTCTTTCAAGTTGTTGAGAAAAAATTAAAAAACTCATGTCGGTAACGGAGGGAATGAAATATGCAGCACTTTTTGGTCAATAAATCCAAACAGTGATAACTCTTGGTTCTCACTTACATATCCTTAACAAACTGGTTTGAATATTTGCTTCATATAGTTTTCTACCATATGGTACAAGATTAGGTTGAAAAACCTCTTACTTTTTGACTCATGAAGTTTTTTATTAAGAAACGTCATGGTAACGGAGGGAAAAGTAACGGAGGGAAAATTGTACAAACAAGTAGAAGGTGCAGGATTTTACATCATTTGTCGCTTTTTCTTCTGAATACTTTAATATTACTTCAAAATGAAAGAAACTATTTCTATAAAATATGTCAGTCCTTCCAAGAACATTTTTATCATTTTAAATACTTTTTTTTTGTCTTTGAAATTTGGGAAATAATTTTTGTTCCATGTTTCATACATGGTCTGTTTAAAACAAATGGAACTTTAGAACCAAAAATGGTACAGAATAAAGGCCAACAGTTTCATAAACTAGAGCACATATGTATCTGTTCAATACATTTTTATATCAGATGAATTAACTTGAAGTTTTGGCCTTGATGTTTACTTCTGCTGGACTGGGTCCTCTGGAACTGAAAATAAAGTTCATTTTGACTTTGACTACACTGTTTTAAAGAAAATAAAGGCTTTACATGCACTGAATGTGTTTTGTTTTTTTTTAACAGTGAACCTTAATTTACACTTAAGGACAGACATGTCAAACTCAGGCCTGGGGGCCAAATTTGGCCTGTGATATAGTTATATTTGGCCCTCGCGATCATATCAAACATGTATCAGAGCTGCTGCCGCACACAGATCGACTATAGAGACATTATTTATTTAAAATGTTGTTATTATTTTATATTTTGCTTGTTCTGGATTCAATGTTTAATCAAAACTGTTATTAAACATTTATTTTAATAAGAAAAGGTTAAACATTATATATCTCAAAAGAAGAGAAAACATGCAGATGTTGTTGAAATGTTTCAATAAATATTTAGTTTGGCCCACGACTTAGTCCCAGTTTTTAACTTTGGCCTCTGGCAATTTGAGTTTGAGACTTTGCCGAAAATGGTAAATTAACTAAATAAAGTGTAAAAATAAAACACCTCTGTGAGTTGTTGAGCTAAACCAGGATAACTCTACACAGTGTTATCTGTTTACTCTTAAAACGTGAATATAACTCTTGATTTCAGGTTAAACATGAATGTTAGTCCAGTGTTACTTAATTAACATTTCCAAAATAATTGAATTAACTCTAGAACAGACAGGACTCATACAAATCCTGAAAAAAAGTTAACATTTATTCTGTGTTCCACTTTGTGATGTCATGAAGCGAGAGTTTTCAAGTTTTCAGCAGCTCCTTTCACCTTTAGTTCGGGAGAAATCGGGAATTCCAGGACTGAAAAAATGACCCAGATGATTCTAGTGAAGGTGTGTGGAGTTTAAAAACACAATGGAGCGCTTCCTGTATCACCACATGACATCACGAGGTGCAACAGTTTTCAGTTTGAGACAAAAACAGCAGGTTTGTGCGTTAAACATGTGAACGAAACAACAACAAAAAAACACAACTCCAGGTCTGTTTGTGACGAGGAAACAACATTAGATCAGAAAATAGAAAAATACGACGACTTTAACACAGAACAAACCAAATAAAATCACATCACGAAGCCCAAACGAGTAAAAACACATTCGCATTTCCAGAGAGAAAAAGGGTAAATGTTTGTATCTCACGTTTGCAGACGTGCTGGTCCTGGTAGAAGCCGGGGGGGCAGTGGGGCAGGCAGCGGCCCAGGTGGAGCACAGAGTTTGGGTCGGAGCAGCTGTCACAGTGGTCAGGACTCCCAGAGCAGGTGGAGCACTCCGAGTGACACCGCACTGACAGAAAGAGAAAGAGAAAGAAAAAGAAGAAGATCTGTCACCTACATTTACTCAATCACAGGTGGTTTTACAGCTCAAAAACACACAGAAAAACAGACCGGCCGTGTTAAATAGTTCGGAATTAAAATATTCTCCTTGGAGTTTACGTGGAAATAATAATTCTGAATTGAGGTTCGCATGAAAAACTCGTTAAATCGGCTTTATCTTATTATCTTATTTAATTCCGCTCAAAGTCCGGGGGTGGGGAAGGTTCTGATTGGACAGAGACACAAAAGTATTTACGTCGACCGGAAGAAAACACAAACTTCAGCTGCTACCGGCTTTTCTGTCAACGCCACAAACACAAACACTGATGGATGTGGGTTTGGACCTGGTTTAGACCTGGTTTAGACCTGGTTTAGACCTGGTTTAGACCTGGTTTAGACCTGGTTTAGATCTAGTTTAGACCTAGTTTAGACCTAGTTTAGACCTGGTTTAGACCTGGTT